TCATCAGCTATATGAAGATGAGCCAAAATGAGATTTATTCCCCTGACTTCACCACTGGTCCTTGGGTGTGGTCCTTTGTGCACTTAATCCCCACCTGAGGACATGCTTATTGCTTTTAGAGAGAGGGGAGGGGGGCAGGGAGAGAGAGAGAGAAACATCAATATGAGAGAGAAATACTGAGTGTGTATCTTGCACACAACTCCAGTGGGGACTGAATTTGCAATCTAGGCATATGCCCTGACTGGGAATCAAACCTGCAACCTTATGGTCCACGGGGCAGTGGTCCAGCCAACTGAGCCACACTGGCCAGGGCTGTGCACTTTTATTTTATTTAAAAAAAACATTTTATGTATTTATTTTAGAGAGATGGGGAAGAGAGGGAGAAAGAGGGAGTGAAACATCAATGTGTGGTTGCCTCTAGCATACCCCATACTGGGGACCTGGCCCGCAACTCAGGCATGTGCTCTGACTGGGAATCAAACCGGTGATGCTTTGGTTCGCAGGCCCGCGCTCAATCTGCTGAGCTACACCAGCCAGGGCGGCTGAGCACTTTTAAAATAGAGTCGGAGAAAACCAGCATATGCCAAAGCCAGTGAGGGAAGCAAGCATCTGGGTCAGACCCGGCTGCGTGGCGGGACTCTGAGCAAAACCTACCGCCAGGTAGATGCCGTCAGTCACTGGGGGTAAAGGAGACCCCAACGAGCTGGGGGGCAGGATGTCCTCGTGTGCCTTCTTCGTGCCAACCTGCTGGGACGAACACACGAAGAAACACCCTGACTCTTCTGTCAGTTTCCCTGAATTCTCCAAGAAATGTTCGGCAGGATGGAAGACCATGTCTGCAAAGGATATGTCGACGTTCGAAGACTTGGCAAAAAAGTGGAAAGCTCGCTGTGCCATGGAGAGGAGACATTGCGTCCCTCCCATGGGTGGTCAGATGGGAAAGGGAAGAGGTCCCAGCACTGCTAAAAATCCCTGTCTGCCTTGCTGTTCTGCTTTGAACATGGTCCAAAGATCAAAAGTGAGCATCCTGGTTTCTCCCTGAGACGCACTGCAAAAAAAAAAAATTTGGGTGAAGTATGGTCTGAACAGTCAGCCAGAGATAAGCGACCACAGGAACAGAGAGCAGCCTGGCTGAGGGAGAACTGCGGGAAGGACCTTGGCGCGCACCCTGCCCCGGGCGAGGGTGAAGCGGGGAGAAGGGCCCTGGCCGGCCGGCAGGCTCCCAGGGGACCGGGAGGGGGGCGGGGGTGGTGGTAAAGATGGAGCCTGAACCGCTGCCCTGCAACTGTGTGTGTGTGTGTGTGTGTGTGTGTGTGTGTGTGTGGGGGGGGTGCGTGCTCCGTGGTAGTTTGGCTAAGAACTTGACGTTCAGTGCAGCTCAGGATCTGCTTTGGGATAAAAAACTGCAGATTTCTGTATAGCTGGTAAGATCCTTGGTAGAGAAAATACTTCTTTAAAAGTACAGGTTGCAGCTTTTTGAGTGGCTGCTACATACAGTTAGATTTTAAGGCTTCTGACGTCGAATGTTTCTAAATATGCAATGGTTTCTTTAATTCCCTGACCCGTGTGTGGTAGCACGGTGAACTCATGGGAATTTGTATCAGTAGTCAATTTTGGGTTTCTTAGAATGTTGCATTTTTTTATTTGGCATGAACTGATTGATGTATGTTAAAAATCAGTCAGATGGGGTCAGAAACCCCCTGCGTGCTGGGTCACTTTTGGTTTTCAGCCGGCTGCTGCTTTTGCCAGAGATGGTCATGGCTGGAAGGTTCTGGATCGATTTTTCACAACACATTCCTTTGGGCTCAGGTTCTCACCTCAAAAACGTCTGGACCGTGCACAGCTCAAGGAAGACGTAAAATAAGAAAAGGAAACAGCCTCCTGTTCCCTTAGCATTTCCTCACCCTTGACCTGGCTCTTTGCAGGTAGCAGCCCCTGGGATTGTCTGGGCAGGTGCTGCCTCTGCTTTACAGAGACAAGGCCCAGGGCACCCGAGAGGCCGAGGAGAGGTCAAGTTCACTGAGAGGACGAGGCAGAGCCCAGCCTGCAGGTAGACCTGGCTGCTCCAGGCCACTGGCCCAGGTTCCCCCAGCTTGAAGCCCTGGGATCTCAGGGTCTGTCTGTGGAATCCAGACAGAGTCCCATTTGCTGTCCCGGATTTTGAGGGACATTAAGGACAGGCATCTTGGTGCTGACCGAGCCTGCCCAGGACTCGGTGGTTGACCTCAGGTATGCTGCTGGGATCCTGTGGGGCAGGTAGCAGGACCCCCATTTTACAGATGAGGACGCTGAGTCTCAGCCCCCCATTCCGGGGGACCTGAGGCTCTAGCCCGGGTCGCTGACCCCAAGGCGGAGCTGTGGTGATCACGTGCCTGAGTGTCGATGACAGCCATAGACTAGTGTGTCCCAGGGACCCTGCCAACACTTTTACACATTTTTACTCTTAACTTCCTTCACAACCCTCTGCGGTGGGTACTTTGTAATGTCCAGACACCAGTGAGTAAACTGAAGCCCGGAGATGGGGGTTAAGCAACTCATCCAAGGCGTCGGGCTACTGAGTGGCAGGACGCAGGTGGGATCAGGTAGCCTGAACTCTCTCCAAAGAGTTGCCACGAGGGTCTCTAGTGGTGACAATGCACTGCCCTGAGCCATGCCCACTCCCTTGCACACGTCTGGTGAGACTAAAAGTAGGTATGTGCACGATGGTGGCTGCAGGCCTGTGGACACGCATGGGGTCTGCAGGTCTGTGTCCTTGCCCCGAGACCTCGCTGGCCCGCATTAGTTTATAACCTTCTCCACCCCCCCCCCCCACCGAAGCTTCCAGCCCCAAAGTCCAGGGAGGTGGTGCAATCAGAGGATTGAGACTAAGGTCCGGGGTCAGTGCCTGCCCCCCTGTTGCCTTGCCTCTGTGACTTGGGGCAAAGCCTTGCTCTCCCTCGCCTTGGTTCCCTCATCTGTGAGTGGAACAATGCAGGCAAAGCTCCGGCTTTATAAGGGTTGGTGTGTCTCTTCCTTCCTGGGGAAAGCCATGGGCTTGGAGCAGAGGGTGGGAACCCCCCCGAAGTGGGTGGACAAAGGGGAGGAGAGCAGACTCTGGCCTGGAGGGAAGATCCTGAGTTTCTGCAAACTGCACTTAAGGAACAGTTTGCACAGGAGCCTGGGCGAGGCGCCTCCCTTCTTCCTCCTGGAAAATGGGTCCGCCTCTCCCCGAGCCTCCCTGAGTGGTTCTGACGGAGCCCACAGGGAGGGGAACGGCCACCTGGAGGGCTGCTGGCTGGAGAGAACCCTTGGCTGGAGAGAAAATTTGAGTCCCGAGGGTTTTCAGTGTGGGGCTCAAAGGCAGAGGTGCACGCTCGGTGGAGAGCAGCTTGCGCTCAGCCAGAACTGACCCTGGCAGGTCCGTTTCTAGGCACGTGCCCTAGGTTCACCCATCCCTTCGCCGTGTTATGGAGGGTGTTAGCTGCTGCGTTGTTTATAAAACATCAAAACAACCTTCCGTTGGTAGAGACAGTAAAAGAAACTGTGGTACATTAAAAAAAACGTGCAGCCATTAAAAAAACTCATTTCTCTGAGCTGTTCTGAAAGGATCAGTGAGACCCTTCAGCAGAAATAGTGGTTGCAGCACGGCGGGCCGGTGTGCTTGTTCTGTGCACAACAGGCCGTCGACTGGGCACACAAGCTGGGTACCGGGGGAGTTCTGCAGGCTTTGCAGGGAAATGGTCACAGCGGTCACTCCTGGGGACTAGGGTGACCGGGGTCGGGGGCGAGAGGTTTACTTTTCATTGTACACCCTTTGCCTCGTTTGGATTTTGAGAGGCACTGGAGCGTGGTGGTTACTTAAGGAGTGCAGACTCTGATGCCCATGGCCAGGTTCAAGCCTTGGCCCTGCCACTTACCAGCTGTGTGACCTTGGGCAACTTACTTAACTGCTCTGGGCCTCCTGTTCTCATTTATCATGTGCAGTCCTGTATGTTACCACTGTTTGTAAAGTGCTTAGTGTTTGAGATAAAGCAGGCGCTCTGTGAATCTTCGCTGTTATTAATTAATTGCCATGTACGTGCACTCTGTCTTTATTGAGGAAGCCAGTTCACAAGCGCAGGCTTGAGGAGCGGAAAGGAAAGCAGGTGAGCAGCCAGATTGTGGCAGGGGCTGATTAGATAGGAGGGCTGGGTGCTCTCCCTCCAGGATGTTCCCCTGCACCACGGGGCCCTCTGGAAGGACAGCCCCTAGTTCCGAATCAGGGGCCGAGTGGGGAGTGGGGAGAACTCTTTCCCTCACTGCTCTGCAGGGGATGTCTGGCAAGGTTGGTCCCAGGGCCCGAGAAGCCCACTGGACACACTGGCTTCTTGGTTGCATGAGTTCCCGCGGCGAGGCCAGCTCCCCGCCCGCTCTGAGTGGTTGAGATTCTGCCCCTGTCTTACACCGTCTGCTGCTCTGCTGCCTTTACTTTCCTTATACCTATGTGCCAGCTGGTCAACCCCACAGGGCAGGACAGGGAGCACCAGAGAGTACATGGCCTTCAGCGGGGCTCAAGGGAGCCGCTGGCTATTGGGCACCTGGGAGGAGGAAGTGCCCGGCCAGCTCTATGACAGGTCAGGAGTGATACGACTTCTGGAACCAGGGCCTGAGCCTGACCCTGGTCTCTGGGACTGCAGCTTCAGCTGCAAGTCGGAAGGGACAGGGCAGAGGGGCAGTCTAGCCGGACCCCTCAGACTCCTGAGGGTCCTTGGCACCGGGCAGAAGGAAGGTCAGCGGCGGCAGGGGCTTTCTGGAAAGACGGGGTTACTGCTCGGCAGCTGCTGGGTTTGCTGGGTTAATGATTGGTGACGGTTGGGGGCTGGGTCCTCTCTGCTGCCTTGTGCTCCTGGAGCTGCTGGGGAAGCCCTGTGGGAGCTGGAGGCTGGAATGCACAGGTCGTGAGCCGATGGCCCACCCTTCAGCGCTGCTGAAGCTTTGGCCCCGGATGTCATCTAATTAGATTTCTGGCCTTCTTTTCACAGGCGAGCAGCTGGGCTGGTGCCGGTCTGAGCTGGACTTTGTCTGATGGCTTCCTCCGACCCTCCTCCACAGGCCGCCGCAGGTACCGCACTGGGGGCTTCCTGCTTGTCCCTCCTCTGTGCAGGGCTGCAGGGGGCCAACGGAGGACCCCTGGCTTGGGAGCAAGCCGACCTGGGATTGGGGGTAGGGGTGGGGAATCCAGCTCTGCTGGCGGTTAGCTGCGTGCCCTGGGGCAAGAGATTTCACCCCTCTGCCTCGGTTTCCTAGTCTGCCACAGGGAAATGATCACTTCCTTCTCACAGAGTGGGCTCCTGGCACAGGTCGGTTCTTCACCTGTGTCCCTAAGATCCCCTGGAGAGACAGGTGGAACCCACCTGGGGACCGAAGTGTCCTGGGGGGTGAAGTTTAGGAACTGAGGGTGGGGACCCGAGGATTAAGCGGAAGGGACATCTGTGAAGGTGCTACGGTCAGGCCACCTGCTTCCAGAGTTGGCAACAAACAAACAAAAATACTTATGTTAAAAAAAGATTTGTTGTTCATCTGAAATTCAGTTCGACATCCTGTATTTGACCTGGCAACCCCAGGTGGCAGGGCCTCAGACACTGTGGGCAGAATCCAGGCCGCACCCTGGAGGGGCTGGACGCAGGCTGTTTCACCCCCTGGGCCCACTTCCCGTCCTCTTTCCCGAACTGGGGGGAGGCAGATAGCAGAGTGGTGATGAGAAGGGGCTTTTTCATCAGCCTGACCTTGCCACTGGCACCTGAATGACTGGGTGTCTCTGTCTTGTCACCCACAAACATGGGGATAATAGCGACGACGCCCTCCCTTGTGTTGTGGCAAGGCTTAAGTACAGGTAGGCGCAGGCATGTGGTAATCAATCACTCAGTGAATGGAGGCTGTCAGCGCTGTGGGGTGTGGGCAGGAGGCTACCTGAGCCGTGCGTGCTCTGCCCTGAGCTGTGCTCCCCTCCAAAGGGTGGGTGTCAGCACAGTGGACCTGCCTTCTCTACGACAGGGGTGGCTTCCCGGGGCCCGGCCTCCCGCACGCACTGGGGTTGCTCGTCTGGACAGCGGGGTGTGTCCAGGAACTTCAAGGGTATGTGTGGCCAGCTCTGCCTGTGCCAGCTGTCCAGGTGGGTGGGAGGGGCTCAGTTTAGCTCTCAATTACCCAGGGACGGGCCTCCTGATTTTTCCTTCTGATAAGGAGTGAGGTCTGATTGCCTGGGTCTTAGGAGCCTGGGAGCAGCACTAGAGACAAGGGCATCTCCTGGGTCATGACCATGACTTTGGGTCCCAGGATACCCCCTCCCTGGCCCCTGCTGTCATGGTCACCTTGCATCCTTTCTGTCACCTACCAAGGGGCCAGGCATGGAAACTGAGAACAAATCATTTTATGATTAATTCCATTCAGTTCTATTCGAGAAACGTTTGATGGCCACCTCTTGTTCCAGCTCTGTCTGGTGTTGCTGGCTGGCATCATCTGGTCGAGCCAGGCTTGGGGCCATTTTCTTACTTTTTGAGAGCTGCAGTTTCTCTGAAACACCTCTCCAGTCGTCTTTTAGCCCCTTCATTCTTGCTCACCTGCCCTGCTGGGCACCTCGGTGTTTGCTCTCTGCACCTGTTGCGGCCCCAGCCTGGAGCACCTCTCCCCGCCTGGTCCTGTCAGACCTTGGCTCATCCTTCAGGGATCTGTGCAGGGCAGCCTGGTGCCCGAGGCCCTGACTGGCCTGAGCCCCCTTCTCCGTTTCAGCCCCAGCTCAGTCTCTCTGCGGTTTGATGTTTTCCTCTTGTCGTGTCTGCCACCCGCTCCCCCCCGCACTGAGCTCCTTGACATCCAGGGTCACGTCTTGCTTCTCTGTGAACCTCCTGACCCGGGCGCTGCCAGGAACAGCCCATCGGATGCAGGCATCTGTGCGGGCCATCGATCAGGAGAGGGTGCAGAAATGACCCGAGTCCCTAGACACGGTCTGGGCCTGGCCCGTGAGGCGGGAGCGCCTGCCCACCTCACCCAGGGTCAAGGACTGGGCTACGCACGACTCCAGGCAGCAGTGAGAATCATGGTGGTGGTGAGGATGATGGGGGTGATGATGCAGTGACAGCGATGACATCACCATCAGGTCAGCTAACATTCAGCGTGCACATATGTGGCACCAGGCGCTTTGCGAGTGTTAGTTCATTCCGTCCTCCCAACTGCACCGCAGGACAGTTGCGATCGCTGTACTCACTGTTCAGAGGAGGAAACTGCAGCTCGGAGGGGGAACTAACTGGGCGCTCGCACAGCCGGTGTGTGCGCGAGCCGAGTCTGCACCAGGTGTGGTCTGGCTGGGAACCTGGTCTGGTCAGCGCCGTGACACCGGCCGCGAGTGCAGGGACGCCCTCCCCGCCACTGCCTGCCCAGGGGGTTCCAGTGGACAGGGACCCAGGGCACCGAAGCACTGCCCCCCACCCCGGTCAGGAAGGGCCTGTATCCGGTAGCCCAGTAGTGGTGGGCAGGGACTTTGTGGCCATTTGTTTCAGTGTTTTCGAAACTTTTAAAACGATAACTCACAGACGTGACCACAGGAGTGTGTGTGTGTGTTCAACATATACTTTTTGTTGCCTACCAGACGCCGGGCATGCAGCAGTGAGTAAAACAGAAACATACCTGCTCTCAAGAGACTCTTTTCTCACAGGGGAGCAGGGAGTGAAAGAAACTTGGAGCGTGTCACGTACTCGTAAGGGCCACAGAGAAAAACAAAGTGCGCAGGCGCGTAGGGAGCCCCCATGCCCCTGCGGGCGGTTTGGTCGGGGCTGCCTCGCTGGGAGCCGGTGTGGAGTAAGACCTGAAGGAGGTGAGAGCAGGAGACACCTGGGGGGGCCGTGCCAGACCCTGGGGCTGACAGGGCAGAGGTCCTGGGGCAGCAGCCCCAGAACGTGCGGCACATTCACGGCACAGCACGGAGACCAGTGTGGCTGGAGCAGAGTGAGTGAGAGCAGTACAAGGTTCTGCACACATGCACACACGCCAACACACACGTATCCACATGCACACACCACACACATTTGCACACACGAATAGGAATGCAAACATGCATTACACGGAACCGTCACTGGAAACCCACTATGCCCCTCATTTCTTTTGCTGACGTATCGTCACGGGGCCAGGTGGCCGCAGGCTCACGCGATGAGGCAGCAGGGTTTCGTGGAAGGAGTGTGGGGCGTGAGCAAAGCCAGGTCTGGGCTGAAATGCAGCTCCCCGCTTTCTAGCCGTGTGACAGAGGGTGTATCACTTGGGCTCTAGATGGCTCTGTGGCCTCTCTGTATGAAATGGGGGTGGTCGTGAGGCTCACACAGGTAGCTCCATGGGGTACATTCCAGGCTCTGCCCCGTGTTCTTTCCTCCCCTCCTGGGGAGGGCGCTCAGTGTCAGGTGCAGCGCTGCCTGGAGGAGTCTGCCTGCTGATGCTGACCCACGGGGCCCCCAGAGCTCCCAGGAGGGGTGGGTGCCCACCTCAGTGGCCTCTATCTGGTCATCACCCTGCAGGGGAAGTCGGAGGGGGGGAGGGTGAGCTCCGGGTCTCTGCTGCAGCCAAGCAGCAGAGGAAGGGGCTTCTTGAATTTGATACATTCGTACTAAAATGTTCTGCTCTGGAGGCCCCAGGTCACTGTGGGGGAGGGACTGGATTTTTTTGTTCAGAGAGACTGCTGGAATCGGATCTGTCCATCTGTCCATTTGTGGGTCTGTCCACCTATCTCTGTGCTCCATCCACCTCCCTGCCTGTTCACTCATCATCCACCTGTGAGCACACCTGGACCAGACAGGCCTGTCCTCGAGGATCGTGGGCTGGGAGGGGCAGTTGTTACAACACCAGGTGACATTATGTAACACAAATACCAGGCACTATGCCAAGCCTTCTAGCTATCTGGCAGTTCTCAGGTAGGGGCAGTTTTGTTCCCCAGGGGACACTTGCCAGTATCTGGAGACAATTTTGGTTGTCAGAGCTGGAGGGTACTACTGGCTTCTCATGGGCAGAGGCCAGGAGTGCTACTACGAAACCCGCCGTGTCCCCCCCAGCAAAGACCACGCAGCCTCCATGCCGACAGTGGCGAGGCTGAGAAACTGACCTACCTCTCGGTGTACCTGCACAGTGGCTGCATGGGGCAGGGCCTGCTTTTGTTCTCCAGCTTACAGGGGAGGAAATGGAGGGTCAGAGAGGCAGAGCGACTTGTTCAGAACACACAGCTGGAAGGGGGCCCAGACAGGACAGGCTGAGCCCCAAGCTCATGCCTCAGCCGTGTGGCCCGAGCTGCAATAGGACTGCCCAGGGCAGCACCAGGCTGAGGGGTCAGCCTCGGGGGCTTTTACAGCCAGACCACACTGCCCTTTGGCGTGGGAGCAGGTTTGCAGGAGGTAGGGGGATGATGGGCTTAGTGGACGCTTGCGGTTCTGTTCTGCTCCAGGTTCTGGGGAAGAAGACTGGGGACCTCAGCTGGGAGAAATGGCTGGAAAGGCAAGGGCTTGTTAGGCTTCAGGTTAGAGAATCTCTTCCTCCACTTGTTTATGAAAGTTGCAGGGCTCCGACCTGGGGCCAGGCCAGGACCTGTCCCCAAACAGGCATGAAACACATCCTTCCTCATTCACAGATGAAGAAAACAAGGGATCACAGAGGAGGAAGACAGGACCTCATTTAGTTAGGGCAGTGGCTGGGGGAGGAGCCTGGGAGTGTCTTTGCTTGACTTGAGCTTTGAGGGCCAGCAGGAGACAGGGCCATGACGGGGGTCTCCGAGGAGGGAGGAGCAGGTCTTGAGACCGCACCGGGCAGAACTCTATGCCAGGAGCATGCCCACCCCGCCCTGCCCCAGCCAGTCTGTACCCTGGCACCTGAGAGCTGGTACCTTCAGGCTCCAGACACTTCCAGGCAGCTGTGTTTTATGCCGCTGTGCATGCCGAATAAAGTGCGGTGTGCAGAATGAGCCTGCGCGTGCTCCTTTGCACATATGCAAAATGCACAGCTGTGTATGCACATGTGGAAACACACATGCAGGTACTTATACACACACACGAAGATGCATTTAAAAAGCCCCCTCGCTTATAAAATAGGGAACTAGGAGACAAGAGTATGAAAGACATGCATTCGAGTACAGATGGGCACATGTGCAGCACGGAGGCTTGCTCCCTCCCCTTCTCCGTCTCTGGCCCTGCTTAGAGCTTGAACCCAGCCCCAGGACCCCTCAGGGGCACAGGAGGGCCATGAGGCCTGGGTGTGGGTTGACCCGGTCTCTGGGAACTGCCCTCGTTCCCTCGCTCAGACCTGCAGAGCTGCTCAGCCATCTCTTGCTTGGCCAGACCCTGAGACCCCACAGCCCCGCTAATAACTCCTCCTACCTTCCAGGAGATCAGCTGGTTCCTGAAGGAGGCCTAGGCCCCTCCTCAGAGGCGGAGGACGACCCCGGAGAGGCCTTTCAGTTTGAAGACAGTGATGATGACGAGGACACCAGTGCTGGCCTGGGCGTCCCAAGCGTTGCTCCAGAGAAGGACACAGATGCCCCACTGATCCATTTGGACCCTGTCCCTGTCACTGGTAAGGTGCTCTGGGAGCCTCCAGTCCTCCCGTTCCCAGGCCTCTGGGCGGGGGTGGAAGCTCCCAGACTCCCGGAGATGCTTCTGGTCCCCTCTGCTGTCCCCAGAAAGCAGGAAGGGAGAAGCCATTGGGAAGAAGCTGCATTCTTTTGCCTCCCCTGGGAACTAGGATTCCTAGCATTCCTGCAGCATCTGGTGCACTTTGGCACATAGTAAATGGAAGCCCCCTCCACTCCCACCCCCCACAGCTTCTCCCAGGGAATCACGCCAGCCAGAGAAGCAGCCTCCCCGAGGATTGGAGAGTCCCGGGCCCTGGGGGCGGGAAGGCCATGATAAGGCTGGTGTTAAATGGCAGCTTCTGGGCTCTGGAGCCTGTCCTCTGGGAGAGGCTGGGGACTAGACTAGCAGGAACTTCCTGCGTGCTTGGGGACAAGGGACTCCTTGAGGAGCTGGGGGTGGGGGGCAGGCCCAGAGCAGGCAGGGCCGCTGGTTCTGGTTGGAGTTGGGATGTGGGCCACGGGGGTGGGGGCGGTGCAGGCAGGACAGGTAGGGGAGCTTGATGACAGCGAAGAGGCTGGGGGAAGGGAGGCGGGCCCAGGCCGGCTGGGCCCTGTCTCCTGCACCCCGGGGAGTCCACTGGGCCAGCCTCCGGCCTGACGGGCTCTCCTCCTGCTCTTCCCCGCAGACCCAGACCCAGCGGCCGCGCCGCCCCAGACGCAGTAAGTGAGCCTTCTTCTTTGCGTATTTTTTGGGGGCTGGAAAAAGAGGAGACGCTGGGCAGGAGGTGTGGGAAAGGGCGGAGCTGCAGCCAGAATCGTTCACGGCAGGTCTTAGGCTAAGAAGGAACACATTTTAAGATCTTCGGGCCTGAGGGAAGAGGTCAGTCCTTCAAACTCATGTTACTTCTTTCTTTCTTTCTTTGGCCCATAAGCCTGTGAGACGGCAGAAGGCACAACTAGCTCCCAAACCTGGCTCTGCCCCTTGCTACTAGCTGCCTGGCTTGAGAAGCCACATGAATTCTCCAGAGAGAAGTCTGTTCATATGCAAAACGGAGACAGCGAAGTCTTCAGCCCCCTGGGCGGGGGCTGAGAATGAACCCGCTCTCTGGTGTTCAGTGCAGGGCTTGGCCCCCATGTCTTTGCTGTGGCCGTTTGTTCTGCCAATACCGTCCCCATTCCTGTGACTGCTGACTGAAGGACCCTGTCCTTCTCCACCTGGGAGCCTGTCTGGGGCAGGGCAGCCATCTGGTTAAAAGCCTGGATTTGGGGGTGATTGCCTGCGTCTGACTCTGGCCCTAGCACTGGCTGTGGGTTCTTGTGTAAGTCACGGTCCTCTGGGCTTTGGACTTTCTCATCTGTAAAAGGGGGCCACTGCTCCCTTCCTGGCACAGTGCGCTGTTGAGTAAGAGGCTCAGCATGCAGCAGGCCCCAGGTCAAGGCCCTGACCCTTCCCTCTGAGGTCTTAGGCAAGTCAGCCTGGGCTGTGTGGTGCATTTGGGGGTTGGGGGCCTGCTGCTCACTGGCTGTCTGTGGGGACATGGGTGCTTAGGGAATCCTCCTCCAAGGGAAGTGCTAGTGGGGGATCCGGGCCCTGGGGTGTGTGGCCGGGGCAGCCATCCTGGTGTGGGGGGAAGGGTTGAGACTCCCTCTGTCCTCCAGGTGAGAGGGTGGGTGACTAATTCTCAGGCAGGTGTTGCCCAGCAGGAGGCCTTCCAGAGGCAGATGTGGCCCTGGGCCCCTGGGGCAGGAGGCGATCCTGGATTCAAATGTGTGTCCCCGAAAGTCCTTGTACATTTTCCTTTGTCGCCTGGAGTGGGCGGGCCCTGTGCAATTAAGGCCCCAAGTGGGAGCCAGCTTCTCCGCCCTGACTAGGGACCAGAAATGAGTCAGCAGTCCTTTTCTGGGACTGGGGAGTTGCAGAGATGGCTGTGATCTCCCAGGATTATAGCCCTCCAGGTGGGCTGGGAGCACAGCTCCCAGTCTGATGGGGGAGGCAGACACTTCAAAGTGAGACACAGGAGTGCCCAGGGAACTGGGACACTGGTCCGAGGGAAGTGGGTGAATGAGCGTAGATTCACTGGTGGGGACAGGGCAGGGATGGGAGGGCGTCCCCATGGAGGAGGTGACTGAGGCCGGAGGTGTGCGCCCCACCCAGGGCCTGGCCCTCTTGGTTCTTTCAGGCCACCCTTCCAGACACCCCCATTCCCAACCTCGAGGTCAAGAGCACAGCACCCCAGCACCTGCCCTACCTGCCTCCCCTCCGTGTGTCCTGGGGGCCCGATGAGTCTGCAGCCAGATTGTGTGTCTGGTGCTTGGGGCCCACTGGGGCTGTGACCCAGCGGTCCCAGAGTGGCTGCCTAGCACATTGTTTTCATCAGCCCACTGGTCAGGGCCGCTCAGGTGGACCAGCTGTTTCTGAAAGAGGCCCAGCCCCTCTGCCTGCCGCCCCCTCGTTCCACAACCAGAGCAACCCAAGTACCCTTGAACACCATCTCCAGGAGACACCAGGGCTGGAGGCCTGCAGGTTCAAGTCCCCATTCAGCCCCTCCCTAGCTGGGGGGCTTTGGGCTGCCCGTGAAGCTCTCTGAGTCCCAGTTGCCCCATGAATAAGATGGACATAATACCATCCACCTTGAAGCATCCTGAGGAATGAGTGGACAGCTTGTGGGAAGCTTGACACACACACTGTGCTTGCTTCTGCCCCCCGCCTCCTGTCCAGTTTGGATGATTCCAATGTGACGGGGCGGGGGGGAGGGGGCCGAGATGGTGTGTCCACTGCCTGGGGCTGGGCCTGGATTGCCAGGGCTGGAGTCTCACCAACAACAGAAGTGAATAAAGATCACGCTTGGGCGGGACGGGAGACCCTGCGGAGCACTGACCACAGTGGGAGTCCATAGAGGCTCCATTCCAGCCCTCTAATTTTGTTCATGGGGAGGCTGAGGGGCGGGACTTGCCCAAGGCCACGCCCTGGGATGCGGTGGCCTCCGACTCCTTGTCCAGTGCTCTCTGCCCTTCCTGCAGCTTCATTCCCTCCCTCCCTTCCAGGTCTTCGTTTCCCTATGTTCTAGCTCCTTCCCTGGACGGTGATTTTCCACTCGTGAGTCCTCTGGGAGGTGACTCTATCCAGATCAAGTTCCTCCTCCTTCTTACCCAAGAGACAGGAAAAAATCTTGATTTTCTTCTGAAACTTCCCTAAAGGTAGTCACCAAGCAAACTCTGCTTTAAAAAACAAATCTTCCAGTGGAGGCCATCTCCCCTCTCCTGAGTGCGCTTCCTCCACGGCCCCTGCCCCAGGTTTGGAAATGGCCTTGAGGCTTTGCCTGGCTGCCCACCTGGCCTCTCAAGAGGCCCTGGACAGTACAGGCAGAGAGTAATCGCCCAGGTCCAGGCAGAGCTGCCGCCTCGCAGGGACCTCCCGGCCGTCAGGGCTCTCGGAGGGAAGGAGGCAGCGCCAGTCGGAACCCCCACTTCCCAGCTGGTGGCCGGAGCTTGGTGGGTACAGTGGGAGTGGGGGGCCATGCCTGCGAGGGCCTGGGAGCTCGGGCTCCGAGCCACGGACCTGGCTTCAAGTCTTGCTCTGCTACTCACTAGCTGGGTGTCCCTGGGCAAGTGGCTTCCTGTCCCCAGCCTCACTTTCTTAACCAGTAAAATGGGCTGTGGGAGGCATGCACAAGTTAACATTTATCCAGTGCTTAGTCTGGCTGGCACATCCTGGCTGCTCCGAACGTATTTGCTGTTGTTATTCTGAGTCCTGGTTTAGGTTTGGTTTTAGAAGGAGCTGGTTGGGCCCTGCCCCCTGGGAATCAGACAGACCTGGGTTTGATCCAGCTCTCACCAACCCTGGGAGTCTGTGCAGGGAAGAGGATTATACCTGCCAGGTGGGCGGTTACAGGGACAGTTGAGGCTGGTTAGCAGTGAGGTCCGGGGGGGCTGGGGTCTGTCTCTGGCTTTCAGACCCATGGACTTCCCGGTCCCTTTGCCTGCTGGTCTGGGCCACCCAGAGGAGGAGGCTAGGCTGCTATGGGGTAAACGGAGGTGCCGGCGTTGCTGGGTGTGTTATGCTCAGGCCTGTGCGGTGAGTTTTAGGGTTGGGTCACCCTGCTGAACACTCCCAAGGAGTGAGCCTCTGCTGCTTAGTAAAGGCAGCCCTAAAGGCGCTCGGCTAACTGCTGGTCCTTTTTCTTTCCTCGATAGGACACAGCTGTGATCACATGATGATGATGATAATGATGATAAAGTAGCCTGAAATAATAGTGACAGTAATGATGCTTTTTATTGTGTACCAGGCACTGGGCTAAACACCCAGGCCCATGTACTCACTCTTCCCGTCTCTAGGAAGTGGACACTGTCATTACCCATGACGCAGGTGGGAAACTGAGGCTGAGTGGTCAGGTGGCCAAGGTTTCATGTAGATAGTGTGTGTTCATTCAGGGCGGAGACTAGACCTGGGGCCTCTCCGATGGGAGGCCAGGTGTGGGCCGCTGCACCCCCCTTCAGGGATGGCGAGCTGCAGGTCTAAGCCCAGGACCTCGGACTTCAGCTCATGGTCAAGGTGCAGATGGCTCCCTGTGAACGATCTGATTGTTTGTGTGTTTACTTAAGAACTTCTCCTGCCCAGAGGCGCTCTCTAGCTTTTGGGACGGCAGTTTCTGAGTAGTTGGGGTGTTCCGTGGACAACACCTGGGGAGCCAAGCTGAGTGGCCTCGGTACTGCCGTGTGTGTGATTCTGGGGGAGGCCCCTTCTCTAGCGGTGGGAGCAGAGTAAAAGCAGCCCATGCTGAGGTCTTGTGATGGTAGAGGGGTGAGGAGGTGTTGCCCCACCTGTGGGCCAGCCCCCTGGGACAGCTGGCAGCTACATGCTTGTCCTCAAGGCTCAGCATGGAGCCAGGCACAGGGCGAATGCCAAGGACATCCCTGTAGAATGAATGGCGGGTACTGATGGACAGAAGGATGGGTGAGTGGGTCCGACAGGAGACTTTCAGTGTCTCTAAGAAGGTAATCAAAACACGAGTGGTGTGGAAATGGAATCTCTGGGCCTGGGCTCTGACTCTGGCAGCCGACAGGGGCCACGAGAAGGGAGTGAATCAGTGGCCTGAGGCCACACAGTCGGAGTCTCTGATCCTGCTGGCACTGATGGTGTCGGCTGCCACTTAACTGAGTGCTTCCCACACATTATCTCGTCTCCTGGGCACTGTAGCCCTTGAGACAGGGACTGCTGATGGCTTCCATTTGGCAGATTAGGAACCGAGGCTTAGAGGGTTGGGGTAGTTTACCCAAGATCTCACAGGGCTGGTGAGTGGCAGGGCTGGGGCTGACCCCCGCTGACCCCCCAGCCGTCCCTGGGAGCCGGCAGGGTTGGCCTGGCCTTTGCAGCCAGTGTACTCGTGACCGGCCCTTGCCCTTGCCGGGGGAACTGTGGCTGGAGGAGCAGCCTCGAGCGCCCAGTGGCCCCTGGCTTCCTGTGTTTCCCTGGACGCAGCCCACACCTCTCACGCCCACTCAGCACACGGCTGTGCACTCCGGCCTCCCGTGGAGTTGTTTGCTTTTCCTGCCGAGTTCGTGCCACCACAGGAGGGCCCCTGCCCTTTCAGCATTTCCTGTTGGGTCAGGCCTTTGGCTCCTGGCCTGGCTCCCAGGGGCCCCCCGGAGGTACCAGTTTTGCCCCTTCCTGGGCTTATCCCGACAAGATGGTCCATGCTGCCTGCTGGACCTGGACCCTG